TCTATTTTCCCCCCCACAACAAAACCCACCCAGCCATATTATCACTTAGCCCAATACTATGTGGCAGTCATGTTGGCCTCAACCAATTCCTTTAGTTTGTATTCAAGAATTGGTTGGTTGATTTTGCTTAAAATCTATATAAATAAATTTATATAAATATATAAGTCAATTTAAATAAATAAATAAATAACATGTTTATTTTCCATTTTTTTCCTGTCCCATTGTCCACATCAATGTGTGATTAAGTGTTCATGAGAATTCATGTATGTGACACCTGATATATGTATTTCTCTGTTGTGTAATACATTTGTGTGCATGCTTTTCCTTATTTGCTTTTGTATGTATTTGGGGGATTTGAAATGCATTGGGAAATTCAGAAGAGCAGGGATGACAGCTACATTAATTGCTTCTTTTTGTAAGAATCATATTAAGACATCATGTTTCTGCTAGTCTGGTAGTAGCCTGGAACTGGAATGATTTGGGTATGTTCTTTTGTATGGCTATGCAAAGCTTTAGATTTGATTTGGAATTCTTTAAAGCAACTAGATCTGTTTTCAAGATCACATAACTGCTTTAATGAGCCACAGGTAAGTGTTGTGTTCACACTCCTGGGCACTCTGAAGCAGTTTTTCCAAATCAAACCAGAAGCTTTACTAGAGTAACTTGTATAGTGAGATGGGCAGCATATATAAATTTGAAAAAATACATACCTATATCCTGATGGCATAATAAGCGAAATCTATCTCCTGATTAAAACAATCTTAATTAGGATATAACCACTAATTGATCAATTTAGTTCTGTACCTATATATGTATAATGAGAAACATTACTTTCCTTTTCATGTTGGAAATGGGGAATCTTTGCTTGTGTGTATGTGTGTACTGAGGGTGTGATAATGCTGACAGGAAGATCTACAGCTGGGGTTTTGAGATCATCAGCTTTTCTTTTTCTGTGATCTTTTCTTTTCTTGCCTTGCTGAATGGAATGGCTAGGGAAAAACATATCCTTTACAAGAGACCTGAACTGATTGATTGTAGAGATGTTTTGAAATTAACCTGAGGGCCATACACAACCTAAAACTACTGATTGCTCTCTACCCTTTTTTTTTTTTTAATGAAGTTCACATGTTCTGCAGAAGATGCAAAAAGGTAGCCTACCCTTCACAACAAAAGGAAATGCCTTTTCTAAGATGACAGCCCCATTTTTATAAGCATTCATTTTTAAAATAATGATGCCTTGAACAAAATCTGTCTTGTTGAAGGAAATGTTTGTAACCCAGGGGAAAGGTTTTATCCTAACGGTCCAATAATTAAGCTACGTAGACTTTGCGACTGTAGGTTACCATAACTTATTCATTCTGTGTCTGCTTTCATATAAGCTATTGTTTACTTACTATTGTGGAATAGGCTGCAACTGTTAGAGTTCATATATGATGCTAAACTATGGTTTGTTCAACCATAGTTTATCACAGGAACTACAATGTTTAGATCCATGCAAAAAGCTAAAACAAGCCACATTATAGTTTAGTGTAGAGTATGAAGTCAATCTAACCTCTCCTAGAATTTTCAAAAGCATTTCTGGATTAGACTGACGCCCATTTGAATCTAAGATTTTGCTTATCTCAAAGACTAACCAAACGCATTCAAATTAGTAGCCATTGTTACTAATTAATTTCACAGGCTAGTTATGTGCTGTATTAAGATGTACTCCCTTTTCTCTGTCCTAAATCTCCTCCTAATCAGCTTTATTGGAGGACCCATTTATTTATTTATTTATTTA